CAATCTGATGTCTGAACATCTTGATTACTAACCTTTAGTACGTTGCTCCTGTATTTTTCAACCCGAAAGGCATCACTCTGTAGCAATACAGCCTTTTGGGGGTGATAAATGCAGTCTTCTCCTCATCAGGGGGTACATTACTATCTGATGGTACCCTCTGTAAGCGTCCAGGAAGCTCATCATTCCATGCCCTGAAGTGGCATCTACTAATTGATCAATCTTGGGGAGTGGGAAATTGTCATTGGGACAAACCTTATTCAGGCTAGTAAAGTCCACCCAGACCCTCCACTTTCCATTCTTCTTTTTCACAACCATAGTGTTGGACAGCCAAGTAGGGTAGTTTACTTCGCGAATGGCTCTGGCCTCTGACAATTTGTTCACTTCTTCTTCAACTGCCTCCATGTGAACCAACGTCGGCCTCCTCACTTGCTAAATGACGGGTTTAGCTAACCTGTCTACGTTTAGTCTGTGACATGTAACCTTGGGGTCAATGCCAGGCATCTCGTATGGCATCTAGGCAAACACCTCTATTTTTGCTCGCAAGAATGCTTCTAACTTCCTTTCCTCCTTCTCGGCCAAGCCTGAGCAGAGGAGGAAGAAGCGCTCTTCATTCCCTTGCTAGACCAGAATTTTCTTCAATGCTTCCTCGCTTTTATTGGCTGGCTCTTTGCCGACGTCATCTAGGATCTTCATGTCCTCATCTTCAATCTCTACTGTTTCTGTTTCTTGTATGTTACATGTGGATTTCATTGCTGCCATGGAGCAGTTCTTTGCCTGCACCTGATCCCCTCTGACCTCCTCAATTCCATGCTCTGTTAGGAACCGCAACAACTGGTGTAGTGTTGAGGGAACAGCCCTCATTGCGTGCAACCATGGCCTCCCCAAGATAACATTGTAAGGGGAGGGGGTGTCAATTACTATGAACTTTGTACTTACCTTCTTGGTGTCTGCCTGTATCTCCATACTTATTGCTCCCAGGGGCCATGTCGGCGTTCTGCTAAAGCCGACCATTGGACTGTTGGACTGCTCCAGATTATCTTAGTGAAGGTCAAGCTCCTTGTAACATCTGACATACATGATGTCACAAGAGCTGCCTTGGTCAATTAGAATGTGCCTCACCTGGCATTCTCCAATCTTGAGAGATATTACCAGAGCATCGTAATGTGGATGTTGTACCACGTCTAGATCGCCTTCAGTAAAGGACACCATTGGTCCTCGGTACTCGTCTGCTCTAGGCCTCTTTTGTTGGACCTGATATACATGTTGTAAGTGTTTCACCCTCTAAGTCTCCCCACGTACCTCGTTTTTATTGACCTTCGAGTGAATCAATTGATCACTTGAGGTCCTTCTACTTGCGGTTGTGGTACTGGTGGAGGTGGTGTTGTTGGTGCATGAGGCAGCCTTGCTTGTTCTTCCCTTATCCTGGCCTCATCTACCAGGTCCCTTAAGTGACCTTGTCTTACCAGATCTTCCAGATATGTCTTTAGGGCTCTGCACCCTTGAGTCAGATACACATCCTCAATATGGTAGGCACAGTGCTTCCTAAGGCTTCTTCTTATAAATTCGCCAGGGATCTTCTCTGGTGCTCTATAGTAAGGCTGATTCCTGATCCTTTCCAAGACTTTGTAAACCGGGATCCGAAACACTGTGGTGACTGTCTGTGCAACCCTCAGTCTTGTTTCTTGTCTGTTGTATTCAGTATTACCTCAGCCTCGCTTCGGCGAGCCGTTTCTCTTCTCCTGTTTTGACGCCTTGTCACTGGCGTGTCTTCTTCGGCTCTTGCATATTTCTCGATCCTGGCCATGAGTTCCTCCATACTTTTTGGCAGCGTCTTTGTTGGTGACTTTCGAAGCAGGCAGTCATCGTTCAGGCCGTTCTTAAAAGATACGACCGCCAACTCTTGGTTATACCCTGGTATTCGGTTAAAAACCTCATAGTACCTTTTGGCATAAGCCTTGAGGCTTTCATCCTTGCCAATTCTGAGAGCCATCAGGGAGTCTACCCTCAATGGCTACAATTTGTTTGTAACAAACCTGGCCACAAACATCTCAGCCAAGCCTTCCTAACTTTTCACAGTTCCTTTCGACAACTTGTGAAACCAGTCTGATGTGATTTCTCCAAAGGATGAGGGGAACACTTTGTAGAGCAACGGTTCGTTCCCAGTATATAGTGCCATTGAGTTCAAATATAAACCGGCGTGAAAGTTAGGATCAGACTTGTCGTCATATATCTGGAATCTCGGCATGTGGAACCTTTTCAGGGTCTCAAAGTTATCCAACTCTACTGAGAACGGCATTCTTGGCTTGACCGGAGATGTGACCTTGGCATCGTGTTGCTTCCTCTAGAGATAGTTCCTCAAGTCCTCCTTAGTCCGTCCAGGAGCTCAGCTGTCAACAGATTTCAGCCTTTTTGGTGCACTACTTCCGGTGTCGTTATGAGTCCTCTTGGACCTCCCTCCATTCGTCGTGTCAAAACAAAGCTCCTTCCCCTGAAGATGCCGGTGTTCTTTAGCATAAGTTTCCTTGGCACGAGGTATCTTCTAAGACTCTCCTCTCATCGATTCTCCTCGCCCGACGTCCTGTGAAGGCCGATGAGAATGCTCTTTTGCCCTGTCATGCAAAGGGACTGTAGGGATTGCTTTCTACCCCCCCTTTTGGGCATCATTCTTGGCCGCTGGAATCGGTGTGTTCTCCAATGGGAACGGAGGTTGCATGACGTTGTTCTGAATCATGAAATTGACAACCGATTGCAGGTCTGCCAATTTGTTTGCCATCTCCTTCATCTCGCTGTCCCTCCTTAGGCATCTATATTTTCATACCTGCAGGTCACTTTCGTTGTAATACTCACCTCGGCCTGTTTTCTTTGGAATGTCTCCCTCTTGGCCGATGTCCTTCTCCCCGAGATTTTACTCCCGGGGTTCTTCATTACAGGTCTCTTCCCCTACATTAGGATCGTCGTGTCGGGCATAAAGAGAAGATCGGAGAGTGCCTTACTTTTATAAAGCGTACATTAGACCCACGAGAGTGCCTTACTTTTATAGCCAGCACTAATTTGATCCTTGTAGAAGCCTAGCTTCAATGGACTCCGGCTCAATACTCATCTTGGACTCTCAGCCAGATAGAGATAAACTCCTTAAGAGCTTTATCTTTATCCAGACTGATGTCCTTCCCCATTCTAGGACTCTTGTCCCTTATCTGTTCATCTCGGATTCTAGTATCTCTGCAGATAACCTTGGCCTAACCGAGATCATCTTAACACACGACCAAGCTACGTGGCACTCTAGCTGACACGTCGGCGTCACCTCGGTCACGTGCTGTCATTTAAAAAATATGCCCCTCACAACTGCCCCCTAGGGTCTATTTCCTCGGCACACTAAGGTGATGGAACCTACATTATTTGTTCTCCCAGAACGTCGGCTAAGACTTACTACACAAAGATAGCCACTAAAAAGTCATTCTGAAAAAGTAAAAATAAGATTTTTAATGACAAAATTTTGAAAATGTCACTAATAAATACACTTTTAGGAATAAAATAATTTGGTCTTAAAGTAGTTTATTTTTTGAGACAAAAAATTTATTTTTAAAAAAAATAATAATTAATCATTAATATCTAATTTTTGTTGTTAAAAATATAATAACAATATTTTTTATAATAAAAATATTTAATCACTAAAATCTTAATTTTTTTTTATAGTACTGAAATTTCAATTTATCAAAAAATTGTTGGAAAATGGTCATCGACACTAGCTAGTGGTCATAGAAAATTGTCGGTGGCGGCGGATAGTACTAACGACAGTGAAGTAGTGGCCTACTTAAGCTAGCAAATATATTTTAGTTAGAAAAATGCTTGAGGGCCCGAAATTAGTGGCTCGAATTTGGCTCAAAACCCAAAACGACGTCGAAAAAAAAAAAAAAAAAAGAAACATATATTAATTCATTGAAAAGAAAATATGATGAATATATTTGGTTTGATTTTAAGAGAGTAGTTTTTAAAAATTATTTTGAAGAGAGAGTTTAAAAAAAATTTTAATTTGTTTGGTTGTGTATTTTGAAAGTAGTTTTAGAGTTTGGAAATTTGAAATGATTTGATATTTTATTGTAATTGAGTAAATGTGTGTGAGAAAAAAAGTGATTAAGAATAAGACAGACGAGAGAAAAAGTAATTGATTGAGTTGTAAAAAAGAGTGATTTTGAAAATTATTTTAAAAAAATTACAAACCAAACAAGTTTTTAAAAAAAAAAAATTCAAAATCACTCTACAGAGTCAAACCAAACATACCCGATATATTCAGCCTCCGTTTGGGAAGTGGGTTGGCTTTTTGGCTTTTTTAGCCTGGTTTGGAAAGAGCTTTTTGACTTTTTGGCTTTTTTGACTTTTTTGTGAGAGAGGATTGTAATGATTATGGGTTAGATTTAATGTTTTGTTTTTTGTGGCTAAAATAGCCTATTTTATTTTTTGTGGCTATTTTAGCCAAAAAAAACCTGACTTTTTTTTTTCCCAAACGGAGCCTCATTTAGCTTAGATTAAATACCCGTATATCTGCATACATTTTTTTTTAAATTTTTGATTAGCCAAAAAACTTTATTGATGAGCAAAGCCAAGCAAATTACATCAACAAAGGGTGAAAGCCAAAGAAGCAGCTGGTGAGTCACCCACTGGAAACAAACATAATCAAGAAAGAAACACAACAAACAACTTCAATCACTCCAAACCCCTCAATATCAATCAAAGAAAATAGTTTCAAACACCAGTGATAGCTAAGGACCAAGCCTAATCTGCCCAATATCTGCATAGATATTCTTCTCAGATGTGGACATGAAGCATCAATATGCAATCAAAGAAACAACAGAAAATTCAACATCAAAAGCCATACATGTGTTTGTATTATCACAATAAAATAAATCATGATTGCTTTGTTTTAAAATAAAATTCACATTATAACACATCATTTGACATTAAATTTTTTTTGTATATTATTAATTATAATATCCACAAAAAACTTAACAATCTAATGCACCAAATTTATTGAAAATAGTTGCATTAACAAATGCATACATATGTGAGGCTACCTCAAGCAATCATATGGCCTCTTATTTAAATTGTGACAATGTATACAAACATTAATTCATGCTTCTAAGCATTGGATGTGAAGTTGAAGTTGGCACAAGTTGTTCGCCTAAAAAACAGTGATGAGCTGAACCCTAGCCTTGATGCTGCAAGATCAAACTGTAGAAGATTGTCCTCAAGTTGGTACCCTCCAATCACAATAGAAGTCCTTGGCTTTGCACCACCATCCACAAATCCTAGGCACAAAACATCATCACTCACCTGCACCATTGAGTTGGCACCATAGATACTCCAAAACACAGTTTCACTCTGCAATACAAGAAAAATGGCAGGCACACCTGGCCCAACCCGCGTGCTTGATATGTTCTTGGAGTTAAAACATGCCTCGAAAGGTGCTACCGATGCCACTCTTGGGACGCCAGAGAGCTCATTGATGAAAAACTTAGTGACAGCTTTGTAGATCGAAGTCTCCAAGACTGTGTAGGGATTGACAGTGCTAATCTTGGTTCCACCATTGCCTTCACTGTCAATGGTTAGCAAAGTAGTGTTTATGGGTACGTTTTTTTCGCCAATCTTGATGGATTTGACTCCGATGAAGTAATCCGAAGAGGCATCACCAGAAAAAGAAGCCGAGGCAGTGCTTACCGGGTTGCGGATGAGAGGGGTGTAAACAAGAGAGGTTGAGGCATCAATATTAGGAAGAAACATATACGGTCCATCACCAAAGATCGCAACGCCATTAGATCTTGTTGAAGAGCTCAAACAGATAGCGAACTTTTTGTGAAAGCTAAAAGCTGTAGAGAATTGAGAAGGGAGTGAAATTTTAGTCCTTCCAAGGCCAGCCATGCCCTTGACACCACTGGCAAGGCCTTCCAACAGAGATGTAGACCCACAAACAAAGAGGAAATGAGGCACAGAGACAACCTTCCCGGGGTTCTTCCCGTCAGTGGATTCAACAGTGACAATATCGGAACCAAGATCACCGCCCGTAGAGGTGTGTGTGACGGTGTTGTCGGGTAGGAGACCGCATGTGTTGTTGTAGCACCCTGGCTTAGGGGCAGAGTAGCACTCTGTGGTGCATGATTTAGAGCCAGCAAGTGAGCATTGGGCGGAGCCGCACCTAGCAGGGCGGTAAGAGGAGGAGGAATAGCCTTGCTCACAGTTTACCCATAAAAACTGGCCACCAAGGTCTAGTGTTAAGTTGACAGGGACAAGAGGAGTCCTCTGGTTGAGATTGGTGAGATATTGGAGGGTAGAAGGGTCTTTTTGGACTGGAAGAATAAGTGCTTTGGGCCTAAAAGAGGTCTGTGCGAATGCCGAAGAGATCAATAGGAGAGAGAAGAGGAGGGTGGAATGCAATAATGAGGAAGCCATGAGTTGTGATGTCTTTGTTTTTGAAGAGGACTAGTGCAATGCTATGGACATTTTATAGCTTGTCTTGATGGATAAGATTTGAGTCGACATTGGTTGGCTTGCAGACTAAGGCCTATAGAGGGTCAAGGATGGCGATTTGGAAAGACAACTCAGCACATCGACACTGTATAGGAGTTGAAGTTTGACATTCATTTGCTATTTTTTTTTTTTTTTTTTCCAAAAAAAAAAAAAAAAAAAAAAAAAAAAAAAAAAGTAGTTTGATAAGGAACATCATAAAACCAGTAAAGTTATTGGGTTGGGACACGTGTTCAGTTTATTAAAATTTTATTTGAGATTATTAGGTATATAAGATTAAATTGACAATTTAAAATTTATTAAGTATTAAAGTTAAATTTTAGTAACTCACCATTTGGCTTAATAATCTTATTAGCCTATCACCCGTGCTATGTACGAGATAATTTTAGATATTTGTATTTGTTTTATATTTTTTTTAATATATAAATTATGTTTTTTAAGACTTTTTATAAAAATAATTTAACAATCTTATCACTAACTATAGTGTATAGGAGAAGTTGAAAAAGGTATTACAGTAATTATACACAGATTGTATCTATAATTATTTATATGAGATAATTTTAAATGCTGATCAGGAGTTTTTGACCAAATCAATAAATGCAGGCATGTGAAAAGACATGTGGATTGAAAAAAGTTAATAAATGTTGACCAGGAAATTTTGACCAAATTAATAAATGCTGAGTTTTTTTTTAAATAAAATTTTTAAAAAATTCAGATTGGGATATTGAAGCTCCCACAGGCCTTGGGGGTTAGAAACTCCATTTTGCTTAATATATAGTATAGATATTAACATATCACCCGTGTTATGCACGGATTGTGTTTATAATTATCTATATATGTGAATTGTGATTTTTAAATGTCTTTTTTATTTTTTTTAAATGCCTTCTTTTTTTTCCTTTTTTATATTATATTAAAGTTTAATATTTTGATAATAATCATATGTGTTAGACTTTTTAAGGAATTAAATATTTTTTTTATTATATTATATTAAAGTTTAATATTTTAATAATAATCATATGTGTTGGACTTTTCAAGAATGTTTTTTTATATTTGTTTTTAATGCATTAAAGTGTTATTATGAGGGATAATAATCACATGTGTTGAGACTTTTCAAGAAATTCATATGTGTTGGATTTTAAAGAATTTTTTTTATGTTCGTTTTTAATACATTAAAGTGTTATTATGAGGGTATGACTTGGGAGTTGGGATAAGTTAATAAATGCTAATGTTTTTTTTTTTAAATCAAAAAATTAGAAAAATTAGATTGGGAGATTGGAGCTCCCACAAGGCTTGGGGTTAAAAACTCCATTTTACTTAATATATAGTATAGATATGTATTATAAAAATAAAAATATATAAAAAATCCATCTACTTGAGTTGGATTCAATTATAATCCGTTTGAGTTCTAAAAATACATACAAGTCAAATTTAAGTGCTCGTTTGGCAATGATTTTTTTAATTGATTTTTTAATTTTTTTAGCTTGAGATTTTTTTACTCGTTTGGTATTCTTACTTGGTTTTAGAATAGCAAAAATTTTTTTGTCTTTCTGTAATTTTTGTCCCTTTGTGATTTTTTGATTTTTTTTTGTCTTTTTATAATTTTTTAGCCCAACGCGAAAACCAAACGATCCCTAGTATATTTTGAAATAAGTTTGAGAATCTGCTCGACTCAAGTCCTTTATAATTTTATTAAAAAATTATTTAAAAATAAAGTACTGTAGTACAGTTTCAAATTTATTGACCATACCTAAAAAATGTACATATGGTCAGGTTTGGAAACTTGTAAAAAAATTAAAAAGTCAAAAAATTATTTAACAAGTTAAAAAATTAATACTATTTATCAAAAGTCAACAATTACGACTGCACAACTCTCCATTCGAATTTTTCCTTACAAATCAATTTTTACAATTTTTTATTACATATTTTTCTATAAAAAGTCAAAAAATTAACCCAAACATCCACATTTTCAATCTCAATTTTTTAGTCCAAAAAGATAAAAAGTGTACTTATTTAGAACACCCCAAACAATCTCATAGTACGGTTTCAAACTGAACATGACATCGACCACCCATAAATCTATTTATTTATTTTAAAGACCACCTAACATTGTTGTGTTAAATTAGAAGCGAACAAATTTCAGACCTCATAATAACAACGTTAAATCATCAAGAACGTATGCTCCTAAAAAATATTGATCCAAAGCACCAAATACAGTACACGTACATAATTTGAAAATTTAATTACAAAGAGAACGTTTATAAAGACAATACACTGTGAATGATTTACCAATTATATTTTAAAAATTGTGAGAATAATGATGAATGTTATTGAAAGGACCATAACCAAGCCTATAAATATATATAAAAAATATATATTTACATATTATTAATTATATAATTCACTTTTATTTTTATCTCAAACCATTCAACGAAACATACTTATTAAGGATGGTTACCGGTTGGGTTTGGATTGAGCTTATGGTAATACACCCCTACCTCATGTCATATAAGGAGTCACTACAACATATAAGACTTTTGGCGATTAATTATTTTGCTCCCTAAAACCATGTTTTTGGTCTCTAAATGCTTTTAATGACAAAAATAAATTGGGCACTAAAAACGTTTCTAAAAGTGCGCCTAGGAAAGTCAAAATTGACTTTTAGTTATCAATTTTCAAAAGTGTTGCTGAAAATGGCAATTAGCGACGAAATCTATATGGTCACAAAATGTTTAATTTTGCAAAACTAAACATTTGCCCACTAATACTTTGTCCCAAAATGTCCCAATTTGATCGCAAAAAGCAAAATAATGATATTTTTAACAACTATTATATTTGGTCGCTAAAAGATAAATGACTTTCTCTATCACACATTTTCGTCGCTAAAAATCAAAGTTAGAAATTTTGTAACCATTTAATTTCATAACTAAAAATGCACAAAAAATTAAATGTCATCCAATCATATAAAAAAAGAAAAAAATTGATATCTACACATCAAAGGCACTCGATTTCCAAACCATCAGTATATAGAATGTAAAATTCTACAAAAATTGAAACTCAAAGTTTCCAAATTCCAAATTCAAATCATAGTTCTTGTTCTCCAATTTCAAATGAAGAATAGCAACAATTTCTTCAAAAAAATAATCTCTCAAAATGTATCTTTGTAAGTTTCTTTATATTAGTTCTCCTTTGCATCCATTTCAATTGTCTCTGGCTTATCAGATGATGCCATACCTTAATAACAATAAAATCCAAATGTTAAAAGGAATTAGAATATTTAAAAGGAATTAGATTATAGAAAAACTAGGAATTAGATTAAAGATGAACAAAACTGAAAGAATTAAGCTAGCACAATAATGAAAGAAACCCATTAGATCTGGATAAATTTCCAGCATCAAAGCACCGTTTTTTTCTCCGTGCAATTCTGTAAATTTCCATCCTTAGATCTGATAAGAGGACTAGTGCAATGCTATGGACATTTTAGGATAAATTATGCAAGTGGTCTCTGTAGTTTATACGATGTATTAATTTGGTCCGTATTGGTTCAATTTGTTCGATTTTGTCTCTTAATTTAACAGATTGTGTTATTTTAGTCCAATAAATAACGGTTGTTAAGTTTGGTTGACGGAAAGTTTACACAATGGGTCAATTTGGTCCCTGTAGTTTACACAATATGTCAATTTAGTTAATATTGTTTAAATTTGCTTGATTTTGATAGGGACCAAATTGAAACATTGTATAAACTACAGGAATCAAATTGATACATAGTTTGACTTTTTATCCACCAAACTTAATAACCATTATTTATTTGACTAAAATAACACAATACATTGTGTAAATCACAGAAATTATTTGTATAATTTACCCAACATTTTATAGCTTGTCTTGATGGATAAGATTTGAGTGGACATTGGTTGTCTCGAGGACTAATAGAGGTTCAAGGGTGGCGATATGGAGAGACAACTCAGCACATTGACACGGTGTAGGAGTTGAAGTTTGACATTTATTTGCTGATTTTTTTTTTTTTTTTTGGGTCATCTTATTATTGTTATCAAAATTAATTTAATATTGTTATTTGTTGAGTACTTAATTGGAAAATCCAAACTTATCCAATAAAGAAAAAGTAGTTTGATAAGGAACATTGTAAAACCAGTCAAGTTTTTGGGTTGGCATCTTGTCACCATGTGGCTCCGCCACTGGCAACAGTCATCTGCACATCGCCTCTATCAAGTCCATTATCTTTCGCTTCTCTTGGATCGTTTGTCCAATTTCGGCCATCTCTTTGTTCTCTCATTGGCCCTGTTTGGTAGAGCTGTGGGAAAGTGGGGGTGTTTGGTGCAGCTTTTTTAAGCCAACTTATGGCTTCTGGCTTTTAAAAAGTTATTTTGGACTGTTTGGTTAAACTTATTTCAAACAGCTTCTGATTCTAACAACTTATTTTAAGTCAAAAAAGCTGATTCTGAGAAGCTGCTCACCCCTTGCTTCTGATTATCAGCTTCTGCTGTGGACATGTTAATTCACGGTTATACTCTTAGATTTTTTTATTTTTTATTTTTTTAAAAATAGAAAAAGACTCAAATGGACTATTAAATATTATTATTATTTTTTATGAAAAATGTAGACAAATAGTGAATAATAAAAAATAAAAATTAATTGAAAAAGCTACTTCACAGCTTATTTAACAAACACTACTCAGCAACTTAAATCTATAATCCAACAGCTATACCAAACAGATTAACAGCTTCTGATTAAAGTCATAATCTATAATCTTTTAAGCTATAATCTATAATCTGTTTTAACAGCTACACCAAACACCACCAGTGTTTATAGCTTATGCCTAAACAGCTTATAGCTTATAACTTTCAGCTTAAGCTGATTTCCAGCTTATTCTTAAAGCATCTCCTGTCCCACTCAAAGAATAAGCTATTTTCTGACTTCCACAAAGTTATAAGTTATAAGCTATAAGCTAAACCAAACACATCAAAATAGCTTAAATTAAGCTGAAAGCTGAAATAAGCTGAAATTAAGCTGTACCAAACAGGGCCATTATCTCTTACGCTGTGTTTGATTGGAATATTTACAGAGGGATTTGAAAAGAAAAAAAAAAAAGGTGTGTGAAATTAAGTGAAATATAGATATGTTTTATTCACATTTAACCTATCTTTTCCCTTTTCCTTTCCAAATCCCTCTTCAAATCCCCCAACCAAACATAGCATTAGTATTTTTTTCTTTTATTCCTTTCTCTTTATCTATCTCACTCGTTTCTCTAACTTGTGTATTGCAGTTTGATACAGATTTTTTGTTGTAATGACATAAAGAAATTGAAATTTTATAAATTTTCAATGAAATTAGTTAGTGAATTTCAGTAAAATTTCGATAAAGTCAAAGAAACTTTAGTGTAACGACATAGTAAAAATTTAATTGACTTTAAATTTTGCAATTTTTAGTCATTAATTGATAATTTTTCAATTTTGAAAATAGCAAAATCTCAGTGAAAATTTTCTAATCAAAGCTAAGTCAACACACTGAAATTTCAATTGATGCTCTCGAAATGGTCGCTGAAAAATTATGCCATGCGAAGTTATTGAAATTTCACTTCACTCAAGAATAGCTAGAAAATGGTCATCGACAATTGTCAATTATCACCAAAAATTGTTGTCGGCAACTGGATGACATTGAGATGGTGGGCTAATTAAACTTACTAACGGTAGTTGGATTAAAAAATAAAAAAAAAAAACACTTATTATTATTAAGCTTGCAAATATATTTTACTTATCCTTAGACTAATAGAAGTGCCCCATATATTAATTCATTGAAAAGAAAATATGATATATTCATTTTAGCTTAGATTAAATACACAGATATCCGCATATATATTCTTCTAAGATGGGGACATGATGTAAATAATTTTATAGTGTTATGCATATAACAACCTTCACAATCCAAAATTGTGAATTGTCATGATTTTCACAAATAATAACATAATCCAGAAAATAAATAACATACCCGGATCAATTATGCGAAACCTTTAAGTAATCCAAAATTGATTGAATATAAACCTAATATTAATATTAGTGGAAAAAGGGTTTCTCTCTCTTGACTTTCTTTAGAATACATTAAATTCAGAATTAATTGATGGGTAGTCTGAATGTCCTTTTATAGGTAGAGAGAGGACCAGTTTCTTTATTCAACCATGATTCCACTTTTCTATCAAAATAGAATATTGGAAAACACTCTTCTTTATTTACCAATTAATTGTAGCAAAAAATATGGAATCATAATCCTGCTAAATCTCTAATTCATATTAGCATATATGTGGGTCAACATAATGACTAAATTGACAAAAAAAACAAGAGTCTGGATGAATACATCATGGCCACAAGGCATTGATCAAGGAACTAAGTACTTGTTTGAAAGAAAATGAGGAAGCAAGGAGGGTGGATTCCAGTACTGCAGCAGAGAGAAAGATCAAGTAACCAATGAGTAAGGATTGATGGAAGAAGATCGGGTCTCTTCACTCTGTTTGTGGACAATATACCTGAAGCAATGAATCCAAGAGGTTTGCATGAGCTATTCACTAAGTTTAGGGTGGTTAGGGATATATTCATTCCTCAGAAAATAAGGAGATCATCAAATACAAGATTTGGTTTTATGCGGTATGATTACCATATTGCAGCTAATGTGGCAGCACAAAAAGCAAATGGGTTATGGGTAGATGATAGAAAACTGACCGTAAAAACTACAGAGTATGGAAAGGACAATGGAGAAAACAAATGGTTGAAGCCTGCAATAAGGAGGACGATTGAGGGGGAAAATGTATCAGTAGACTCTATGACGAAAAGTTGAAACCAAGGCATTGATCACAGATCGTTTGCAGAGGTCCTAAAGGGAGCGAATTCAATTGACAAGCATAAGATTTCTATCAATGTGAAGGAGATAGGCAATGGATGGCTGTATGAAAACATCATTCTAAGGCTCAAACCAATATTCTCTGTTCTGGCAATCAAAGAAAAGCTCGAACGAAAAGAAATGGCTAGTGTGTTAGTAAGAGAGGGTGGAGGTCGTGATGTTGTGATAACTTTCAAGTCAAAATGAGGATATGAGAATCAATAGGAGCAAGCTTGTTGCCTGGTTTCAGGAATGGTGTGAGTACATAAAGGAATGGTCAACAGATATATACCTTGAGCAAGAGAGGTTTGTATGGTTGAGTTGCTACGGAATACCACTCAATGTCTAGAATACAGATACCTTCAGAAAGATTGGAAGATTATGGGGGGAGGTGATTTATTTTGATGGAGATACTTGTGAGGCAGCATCTTTTCGATGTGAAAAAATAAAGATTGCCACAAAAGTCATGGAGCCGATAAATACAAATGTAAATCTGGATTGCAAAGGAAGAGTGTACCCTATAAGAGTTTGTGAAGAGCAGATTGTGAATGAGGTAAAAGCGACTTGCACATGCAATAGATTAGAAGGTGTTAACGAGTATGGCAGCTCTAATGTCAATGGTGATGTGCAACCCATGGATGTTCCAGAGTAGAGGAAGATGAAGATGACCTAGCAGATGTGGTGGATGATGATGTGAAAGATAATATTAAGCTGGCTGAAGGGGATTTGCTAACTAGAAAGGAGGACTGAAGTAAGGTGAAAGCAGCTGATAGCTTGATGGAGATCTCAATAGTTGAGGAGTCTGAAGATTGCATTGGGAAATTAACTGAAGTTGACAAAAGCAAGAATGCAGAGAGTCTTGGAAAAGTAATTGAGGATAGCACATGTAAGGCAGAGACAATGATGAAGGAAAAAGAAGGCCTGCAGCAGGGGTGTAATGATAAGACTCTAAAAGTAGGTGGTCAAACCCATATACCAGGTTTTGTGAGAAGCTTGAGTAGGTCTTCAAGGGCCAGATCAGGTATAAATTTGGAAGTTCTCTTGGGCCATAAGCATAGTAATACTCAGACCTATGGGCCAAGTACAATCCAACATTATGGTCCTGATATTAATCAACCCAATGGGTGGGCCGAGCATGGGCCTATTGTGCTGGTCTCTGAATCTGGTGATGGTGATACTTTTAGTGTATCCATTAGTGAATCTATTTCTAATAAGAGGAAGCTTAGAAATAATAAAGGGAAAAGGAAAGTGGGTATTAGAAATTCCATGCTAGTTGGTGGATTTTCTGAGTTCACTAGAAGATTAGGGCAGAGGGGGGCTGGTTCTTGTAAAAATAACCATAAAGGGGTTGTAGTTAGATCTGCAGCTGCTGCTGTGTTGAAGTCTGCCGCAGGTAAATCTAATCTTAGTTGCTTCAAAGGCAAACTTTATGAGGCTCAACTCACACTTCTTCTGGGTAACAATTTGGGGATTGACTGCATAGGACAAGATGAGGAAGTACTTAAAAAAATTGTTCAGATGAAAGAGCTGGATGAAGAAAGAATTGGAGTTAGGCTGATGGGGCAGCTTAATTAGTTCCCACTGGGTGAGTTTAAAGAGCATTAGATTTGTTGTTATGAAGTGGTTAAGCTGGAATATCAGAGGCTTTGGAAGGCCTGAGAAGATGGGAAAAATTAGGAAGCTCTTGCTAGAAAGGAAAATTGAGTTAGCTCTATTTCAAGAAACAAAAAAAGCAAGCCTTTCAAGTGTGGATGTTAAAAGAGTGTGGCTTAGAGATAAAATGGAGTACATGGTTGTTGATGCTGAGGGTCAAGCAGGGGGGTTGCTTTGCATTTGGGATCCTGAGATGTTTCAGCTCTCAAATTGTTGTAGTAATAGAAGCTTCATTTTGCTTGCAAGTACTGTCCTCTCCTCTTTTGAATGTGTTGTTATCAATGTGTATGCTCCTAATGATACTGTGAGGAGAGGGAGATTATGGGAAAGTCTAGTAAATTTGAAAGCATCTTTCCCTGCACCTTGGTGTGTAGGTGGGTGGTGAGTTTAATGAAATTAGAAATTTGGATGATAGAGTGGGCTGTTCAAGAAAGGATAGGGGTATGAAAGACTTCAATGATTTCATAGATAGGTATGAGTTGACTGAGATACAAATGATGGGTAGGAAATTCACTTGGTGTAATGCAATTGATGGAAACAAATGGAGTAAAATTGATAGATTCCTGCTTAGTCTTGAGTGGTTAGAAAGATTCAAGCTCAAACTTTGGGGACTACCTAGACTCATTTCTGATCATTGCCCTCTAGTACTTTTGGAGGATGATAGGGACTGGGGACCCAAACCCTTTAAGTTCACAAATGCGTGGTTGTTACATCCTAATTTTGCATCCTTTCTGGTGAAAGTTTGGCAAGAGACACAAATAAATGGCAGAGCATGTTTCATATTGCATAGGAAATTACATGCATTGAAGTTAGCATTAAAGAATTAGAGCAAAGAGGTGTTTGGTAATGTCTCAAAAAAAATTAAAGAAGCTGAGAGTCAGCTACATTTTTTGGATCTATTGGCTAAAGATAGACCCTTGTTGGAAGCAGAGTTGAAGTTAAAAAAAGAGGTAAGAAGTGAAATATGGAGGCTCAGCAGAATGTTGGAATGAGAATGGCTGCAAAAGTCAAGATTGATGTGGACTTTAAAAGGGGACAGAAACACAAGGTTTCTTCATGTGATGGCCAGCAGTAGGCAGAATAGGAATGCATTAAATTCTATTTTAGTTTAAGAGAGGGTGGTTGAGGATCCTGAGCAAGTGAAGCAAGAGGTATGGGCTCATTTTAATAGGCACTTTTTAGAAGAATGGAGGACTAGACCTGTTTAAATTGGTGACTTTAAGAGTGTTAGTTGTAGTGCTGGTTTCTAGCAGTTTTAAGTAGAATTCTCGGAGGAAGAGATATGGGCAGTAGTAAAAGAATGCAATGGGAACAAAGCGCCATGTCCAGATGGCTTCAACTTCATGTGTTTTCAAAAGAACTAGAAGGTGTTTAAAGAAGAGGTGATGCTTTTTATGAAGGAGTTTTACAGTGTGGGTAGATTGGCTTATGGGATTGTAGACACCCCATTTTTTACTGTCCTCAAGACTTGGATGTTCTTGCAGTTATATCTAGTGATGAGTTTGATTGCTCGTTGAGTGCTCGAAGTTCGTGGCGGAACGCCACAGGTTTGAGTTTTCCAAACCCTGCATCAATTCTGTCTCATTTTTGGACCATGTTTAGGTCTTTTCAACATGATGTTATTGATGGCCTGCCGGCCATATTTGGGCACTGCCGGCCATGGATCTTGGTCTGCCGGCCATTGATGTGCCCTATCGGCCATCAATGAGCCCCTACCGGCCATCACTGATGGGCGGCTGGCCACCAGTGTATTAGTAGATATTTTCTAATATTTTGTGCCAGCTATTTGCACAGATTGAGCCATCTTCTTGCACGTGTATGGCTGGATCTCTTTGAGGGGATTTTTCATTCTCTATATATAGAGGCCCTCTCTTGGATTTAGGGGGGTTGGAAATTTTGAAGACAAAAAAATCTCTCTCTCTCTCTCTCTCTAGAATTCTCTCTCTCTAAATATTTTGTGCCTTATAGCCTAAATTCTCTACACTCTTGTATATAAGCCCTTGATCAAACTTGATCACCATTGAGTTGAGGTTTTTTGAGGTCCTATTTGAGCTCTAGAAGAGGATATTGGCTTGGTTTGGCTCGATTTTGGTGCCTAAATTGCATCTTGTCTTCTAGAGGTAGAATACTTGTGTTTTAAGCCTAATTTAAATACTTGTTTTGCCATCTTTACATACTATTTTGAGGCTGGTTTTAACCTCTGAAAATCTCTATTTTTATGGTCTAAAATGGTGGTTTGAGGTTTGATTAGAGTTAGGGGTAGTCCACCCTTCTTGTTGCTTGATTATTAAGTTGTTATGCCATCTTTCAAAGCTTTCTAAAACAAATTTTCTGGCCTTTGTAACCACTGAATCTCAGAGGAATTTTAGTGGTAAAAACCATGTTTTGAGGTCCAAAATGGGAGGGGGTAGCCTCCCCTCTTTGTGTCTTATTTGCAAGCCTAGATAGCCTAACATGTAAGCATGATTTTCTAGCATTTTGTATCTTAATCTCAGCATGTTTTTGCTATTATTTTGGCATGTTTAAGCTCTGTTTTGATCTGGTTTGGTCCCTTGAGGCTTTCTTTGTATGCTTGTAGTGCAATTGTGCTTAATAGTTTAGCATGTGCTATGTGTTAGTCTTTTATTCTAGCTATTTTTAGCTTACTTCAAGCATGTTTTAGGACTCCTCTTAGGCTATTTTAGGACTGTTTTGAAGTGTTTGTACCTTGTGAGCTTTGTATAGCATGCCTATGGTGTAGTGATCTTCACTAGTTTGGTGATTTTGGCTTTTAAACATGATTTGCATGAGTTGCTTACATGTAGTATCATTTTGCATGCAATTTCAATACATATAATATCTGCAACCTCCCTCATTTCATCACTTTTTCATTTGCTCTGAGGGTTGGTTAATCTTCGGGTTGTGTTTAAGCTTGAGATTGAGATTTGCGCTTAATGGTTTTAATCATCTTTTGAGGGTTTTTACTAACCAAAGGCATGATCTCTCTCTTGTCTTAAGTCATCCCTTGGTTGACACCTCTCGCATTAGAGGACTCTCACTTTTGGACTAACTGGTTAAAGAATGGATCGGTAACTAAAATGAGTAAACAAAAGTGACAAGTAAAACTTGAGCAAGATAAGCATGTTGTGTTGCATTGCATGTGTTCAATCGGACGTTATATTGAACACAAGGAAGATTGGAGCATTTCATTACCAAAGTGATGAAATGAGCCAATCTCTTTGGTCTTCATCAGCTTTGATCATGCATGATAGGGTGGTGGTCATTTGAGTCATATTTTGTGCATTTATTGAAATTGTACAACTTGAATCTTTGGCCATCATGCAATGAAATTGCTTGATTGGTGGTTTTGGATCCAAGAGTGCCACTTATTTGAGGTTTTGAGATAATAAAGAGAGGCACAGTACAAATAAACCTTTGGAAAACCCTTCATTTTCCTCTGTTTGTGCTTTGTTGTAGTGTGGTGACTCAGAGCACCAGTGGCCGGCAGTGGCTCATTGGCGGCCGGTAGTGGCTCACTCTTGGCCGGCAAGGCACATTTTTGGCCTGCAGGGGGCCGGCAGTAACCTACCATGGCCGGCAGGCCACTGGTGTAATCCTCAGCATTGATTTGGTAAGGTGGAGCAGAAATGTTTTGAAGTGTACTCAACCCTGCGAACAGAGCCTCTTAAGAGCAAAACCGGAGGGCTTTTCGGGGCAAAAATCGAGTGCTTACATCCTCCGCTTCCCGAAACAGAGCTGTGGTAGTGTAGTTTAGATATTTTGCATGATTAGTTATGTACATTGGCTTTGTAATTTAATTAATTAGTTTGCTAATTAGTTAAGTGTTATAATAATTAAGTAGCTTAGCTTAGCTATTTCTTTATTTTGTTTTGTAATAATTAGTCTAATTAGTTTAATTAGATTAGTTAGCCTAGCTTAGTTTAGATTAGCTTAGCTATTATTCATTCGGACCCTCCTTCGCGAGGGCACAATATTGTAATAAGTGTGCGTGAGTGTGTGCATGTCTTCCAACCCCGCGTCTTTTTCCTTTTTATTTAATCGCTTTCGATGATTAGATTAGGGACATATTTCAATTAGGATACCTTATGTTCTCATGCTTGCATCCATTCATTTGTATTGCATGCACCGAGGCTTGGCGCATCATTCAAACTGCATTGCAATTTCAATATCTTCTTTGATTATGTGTTTAATTGCATGTTGTTCACGTTGCTTCATATGTCATATTAGTAGCCGAGCCTATTAATTGCAGTATTGCATGTGTTGCATTAGGCGTCTTGTATAGTTAGGATCATACATTTTTCTAACTAGCTTTTGTTTTGGCTCGGAGTACTCGGTAAGTTTTGTGCTTTAGCATACTTGCGTGAGTGTGATTGCCATATTGCCATGTTTCGCATGCTTGCCATGAGGCTATGTGCTTAAATGCTAAACTGTTTGACTGCCTGTAGATGAAGGCTTTGTTGTTTGAATTGGAACAGTTCAACAAATGTATGTTTTAAGCCCACTTTACGAAGTGGCAAATCATGTTTTAAGGCCACTTGAGGTGGCAAATCTGCATTTTAATCCCATTTGAGGGTAGCAAATTCAAACCATTTTTGAAAACAAATATGAGTTGAATTGTTCCAAGTCTTACGGCTACTCTATACTTGCTTGTGTGCGTCACATAGTAAAACCAGTTTAATAAACTGGAATAAGAACACATAATGTTTATAAAAGAACATATCATAATTAGTAGGTGCCGATCTTTGATCGGGCGAGCGGGGGTGCTCATTTCAGGACCTTCCCCTCTCGTACCCAAGTTCCCAAGCCGAGGCAACTTTAGTGATGACGGACACATGGCGATGACGGACACGTGGCCTTTGGCACGAGTCAAAGTTTCCTAAATTTTCCAAAAAAAAAATATTTAGGTGATGACTCTGTAATCTGGCAAAGCAGTCCAGTTTTGGCATTATTTGATTCAAAAATCAATTTTTCAAAAAGATTTGCCGGATTGGACTCTTTGGTGTTTATCAGTTTCACATTACACTTTGTGAGATTAGATTCAGAACTGCAGGAGTCCAAACAGTGAGGCCTTTTTTTCAAACCCTTTCCGAAGTGCAGGGACGCGAGAGAAAGGCGAGTCCATAGGGATGAATATCTCTTTCTTCACTTTAATTCCTAAGAAGGTTAATGCTCTCAATCTAAATGATTATAGGCCAATAAGTTTGATTGGGTCAATGTACAAGCTGTTGTCTAAGGTTCTTGCAAGTAGACTAAAACCAGTTTTGCCAGAAGTAATTAATGAAACTCAATCAACTTTTTTGGGTGGAAGGAATATCTTGGATGGGGTTTTGATTGCGAATGAAATTATGGATGGGTGGAAGAAAGCCAAAAAGAAGGGACTATTGTTTAAACTTGATTTTGAGAAAGCTTGTGACTTTATCAATTGGGGTTTTTTGTTTTCCATATTAGCAAATTTTGGTTTTGGTTCTAAATGGATTTCTTGGATGAAAGAGTGTATCTCAACTGTTAGAATTTCAGTACTTGTGAATGGGTCACCAACTAAAGAGTTTAGTCCTCAAAAAGGCCTTAGACAGGGTGATCCATTATCGTCTTTTCTATTTAATTTGGTAGTTAAAGGCCTTAATATTCTACTACTCAGAGTTAGGGAGTTGGGTTTGGTTAAAGGGATTCATATTGGTGTCAATGGAGTGGTTGTTTCATATCTACAATTTGCTGATGATTCACTTTTCTGTGAAGCTGATGTGCAGGAGGTGATGAATTTGAAAAGAATCTTAAGATGTTTTGAAATGGTCTCAGGGCTTAAGATTAACTTCCATAAGTGTGTGGTTTGTGGGGTAGGAATTTCTGATAGTTGTCTCAAGAATTTTGCTAGTTTGCTTAATTGTAAAACCCAGAGTTTGCCACTGAAATTCCTTGGCTTACCTTTGGGTGCTTCTCCAAGAAGAAAAAAGGTATGGAAACCTGTCATTGACAAAATCAAAAGCAGACTTGCTGGGTGGAAAAGGAGGCTTCTGTCCTTTGCTGGAAGACTGACACTAATTAAGTCAGTGCTGTCCAGTTTGCCTGTGTATTATCTATCACTTTTCAAGATGCCAGAAGGTGTTGCAAAGGAAATAGATCGATTACAAGCTGTGTTCTTGTGGGAGGGGACAGAATTGAAAAGAAAGATTTATCTAGTGCAATGGAAAGAGGTGACCAAAAGCATTAGTCAAGGTGGGTTGGGAATTAGAAAAATCAGAAAGGTTAATGATTGCCTATTAATGAAACGGTGGTGGAGATTTGCCAATGAAAATGAGGCACTATGGAAAAAAGTGGTTTGTAATAAATATAAAATTCAAGCAGGAGCTTGGCTTCCAAATCAAATAGTTGGCATAAGATGGTCTAAGATATGGGGTGATAAACTAGCTGTGGCAGAGCAAAGAAACACCATCCTACAATTTTTTCTTGATAATCTTCATATTAAAGTGGGTAATGGGTGTAGAGTTAGATTTTGGCAGGACAAATGGTGTGGTGGCTGTTGTTTAAAAGAGGGTTTTCCTAGACTTTATTCCTTATCCACTGCTAAGAATGGTTCCCTCAAGTTCTTTGTTGATAACAAAGGAACATCTGAGATGTGGGATCTCAGTTTAAGGAGGCCTTTGCTACAGTGGGAGGGTAAAGAGTCATCCAAACTCACTAACCTGTTAAGAGCAGCACCTGTACTTTTTTCAGGTGAAAAAGATAAACCAAGGTGGCTTCCATGCCAAACAGGTCAGTCCTTTGTTGCATCTTTATATAAGCACTGTGTATTGGGTTTTGGTGTATTTGAGAGTTCTAGCAGATTGGTGTGGATTAACTACCTCCCCCCCAAAGTTCAATTTTTTGGGTGGCTAGCTTGGAAACATAAACTTAAAACTTCTGTTTTCCTTCAAAGGGTGGGAGTTCTGGGTGAGGGAGCATCCATTCTGTGTGGTTTTTGTAAATCTGAGGCAGAATCTGTTGAACATGTTCTAGTTTCTTGCCCTAAGGTATGGAAGGTCTTGACTAGCCTATTGCAGTGGTGGGGAATATTATGGGTTGTGCCTGGTTCTGTTGACTGCTTACTCTATTGGTGAGCTAGGAACTGCCTCTTGAAAGCTGAAAGGAGGATATGGAAAGCTATCCCTTTGGTTGCTCTCTGGTCCATTTGGAAACATTGGAATGATTGCTTGTTCAATAATGTTCAGCCAGATATGGAGGAGTTGCAGGAGTCAATTATTATTAGATTAACTATTTGGTTGAAAGCATCTTCTAAGGATTGACAGTTTACTATTAATGACTTTATCTACAACATCTGGCAGATTAGAACTTGTTTAGGTGGCAGGGTTCGTTGCAATTTATATTGACATCTATGTCTCCTGGTGTGCAGCAACAGGTGTTTACGGTCTTGCTCTGTATCTGTTCTGTTTGCAGATTAGAGTTTGTTTGCAGTTTTGTGCGTCTGTAGGATTGCAGCTCTGTGGGTTTGGTATTTGTTCTGTCTGTAGCTCTGTGCTCTTGTTTTGTTGTTTTGTTATGCAGTGATGTAGGCATCTGGGCTTTTTGCAAATTTTGGCATGAGGATTTGGTCATGTGGAACTGTTGTTTGGGGCTAATCTTGGTGAAGTTTTGTATCATAAATGAGGGTTCAATGATTCCACCGCTTGCCTACATGAATTTTAATGGTTCATCAGTCTATATTTGGTGTGAATCCCTTCTGGGCCCTGAAACAGATGTTATGCTCTGGATTGTTATGTTTTGCTGTTTATGGATTAAGGCTGCTGCTGGAGTAAGGTCTTATGCTGTACGGTCTGATGCCTATGTGCAAGATTTCCTTCTGCTGCTGTTTGGTTTTCTGTGCTGTTTTGCTGGGTGGAGTTTTGGGTGAAGTTTGTTATTCTGCTATGCTATTCTGTGATGTGTTGTGCTGTTCTGTACCAGTTTGTGTTGTTATGTGCTGTGTTGTTATGTTGTGTTGTTGTCTTCAAGTCGGTGCCTGTTAGTCTCTGCTGCTGATCTCTGGTTTTTTGTGTTTTTTTCTTCTTAGTCTGCTGTTGTGGCAGCATCTTTTGTTCTCTGGTTTGTTGGTTCCTCACCAACTGGCACTTGGAGCATGTGATAGCTCCAAGCTCCTCTTTATTGATGTAATTTGTCATACCTTGTATGTTTTCATCAATAAAGATTTTCCTTTCCGATCAAAAGAAAAAAAAAAAAAAAACCATAATGACTAATTAATAATTTAGTCTTACATTCTCCCACTTGGCCCATATGAGAACTTACGTCAAGATTTAACAAGGTTAACATTAGGCGCGCAATAAACCATATTCAATATTACCTTTAATTTGGTCATCATCATAATGCTATAATTAAATAATTCACTAATATAAGTCATGGCGATTCTACACCAATAATGCGATATAGTCCCTTCCATGTATTACAACACTAGCAACTGGTTTAACATAGCCTTTTAAGTGAAAAGTATAAAGAGGTCCAACGATAATGTCTTTTATGAAAGACTATTTCTGTTGTCATTCATTCATTCTCATATATGTATGTACTCATTTCATAACAAGAAATTTATCAGAAACACAATTAATGAGATCTCAATGTGTCAAATAACACAATCAACATAAACAACTGTTATGGATTACATTCAAGACCTAATTGGCAAGTTTCTTAATTGTCTTTAAGAGTAATCCCTTCATCAATAGATCTACACTTAAAAGTTATATACTTATGTGTTTTATTGACACTTTCTATTTATAAAATTCTTCTTTAACAACAAAGTATTTCAATTATATGTGTTTAGCATCATTAGAATACTTATCATTCTAAGAAAATAAAACAATTGCAAAATTATCACAATAAATTCTTAACTACTTGGCAACAAAACTCGACAATCCCAAATTCTGAGATAAAGTTTCACAATAACAATTCATGAATTGTGGTCTCAAAGCACACCACAAATTCAACTTTCATAGAGGATACTTATAATAGTTCGTTTTACACTTTTCTTAATATTTCTTAATATTGCTCGTTCACATAATAGAAACAAAGAACCAAAAGTGAATTTTCTACTATCAATATATTATCTAAACGCTGAATTTAAGTAGCCAATCAATTCAAGATTATCAGACTTCATAAATGTGAGCAAGTAATCTTTTATTCCTTATGATTATCTTATCACTTCCTCATTTAAGCATTAAGTTTCTTACAATAAATGTATAAAGAATCGTTACCATTCCAATTGATTTTATAAAATTTTTGCATAAGATTGGACTTATTTCCTTTCTAAACAAGATAACTTTATGTGAATATTTATTCATTCTAAATCTCTATAGAACTTTTAATATATACATTATGAGACAATCTTAACAATTCATGTGATTCATTCAGAAATATTTTAATTTCTATCACATAGATTGTTTTACTAATATATTTCATTTCAAAATTCTTAAAGATAAACTTCTTAACCCGTGCAATAAATCACGTACATTATTGACAAGTAAAATATCATCAATATACAAAATCGTAAATATAAACTTGCTCCCACTGATCTTTGGATATGCACACTAATCAAAAATGTTTTCTTTAAATCCAAAGGAAAAATAGTATCATAAAACTTAAAATACAATTTTTAAAAAGCTTGTTTAAGTCCATAAATTGATTTCTTAAGTTTGCAAGTCACATTTTCATTTTCCTCAATAGAGAAACTTTTGAGTTGATCTACACAAAATTCTTCTTCTAAACTCTCTTTCAGAAAATTAATTTTCACATACATTGAATGCAACTCAATATCATAATGAGTTGCTAATGCTATAATGATTCTAAATCAGCCCTTTAAGATACAAATGAAAAAAGAATATTTCATTGTAATCAATGTCTATTTTTTAAATAAAAAATTTTTTTACATACCTAGCATTATATCATTTTATATTGCCCTTAGAACAATAATATTTTTGTATCCTTAAGCAATTTAATGAAATCCCAAATTTCATT